AATACATGTGAATTTATTCTTGACCAGTATTTTGATACCAAAAATGATCCTGTCGGTGAATTTAGGTTCAAAGATTATGCAAGCGCTTTAAATTCTACCACTGAAGAATGTATAGATGATTTGTTTGTCAAGATTGAAACAAATGAAAAGTTAACTGCCACGAAAACAATCAAAGTATGCTGGTATGACGATCCAGGATATGGACAATATTTTTCGGGAATGCATCAAATTCTTTTAGCTATTATCTTCACGCTCATACTGACAATTTTCTTTGTTGGTGGTATGATTATAATAAAAGGTCTACAAAAAAGCAGAAAGCTGCGGAAGAGCATGACGAACACAAACAGACAAACATCTGGAAATAAACCAGCATTTGATGACCAAGCTAGACAAATAACCGTGTCAATACTTTTTGTTAACGCACTATTTGTTCTTATGGGAATACCTGCACTTATTTACCTGAATGGAATATCGGCCTGGATTGACGAGGAGACTGGCATGACAGAAATACAGGAAATAATGTGGGCGGTTGTAAATCTGTTGGCCTACGCCAAACACGCAATTAATTTCATCTTGTATTTCCTCAGTGGACAACGATTCCGTAGTCAAGTGAAGGAAACATTCGGATGCTTCAAAAATCCGAGTGCCGAACGTAGTAAAAGCATGCCTGTAAATCGGCTTGTTTCCGTCGCCAGCACTTATGATCTAAGTTTGAAAAAATAGACTTGAACTGAATGACCAGGTTTAGGAGCGCTACCGGCAACTCACGCAAAGATTGTATTTTTTGTCACTATTGAAGCAAAAAGAATATAAAAGCGAAATAAACAATTTGCTTAATAACTACGATTGCATACTTTGTTTTAAATTTCTTGACTTTCTTGCAATACTAATTTTATACGAAACTGACTGTAAATAGTATCACTAATAAGAACGGTGTAACATGTCGTGCAACTGTAGTATTATGGCGTAAACAATTTACTTAATAAATAGTATTGCATGGTCGATAATAATTATGTTGTAATTTTTTTAACTTTCTTGCAATGCTTGTTTTACACGAAACTGATCAGTAAATAGTATCACTAATTAGTACATTGTAACATGTTGTGCAATTGTTGTATTATGGCGTATAATCATTTTAACAATTGAGATTGAGACAACAAAAAGAGAATTAACATTAAATTGTGTTATTTCTAAAGTGTATGTATTTAATGTCTGTTGAAATGTTGTGCGTTCATTAAAAAAAAATCCAAAAACAAGAGTTTTTGTCCTAAATTTTTGTGAAAGAAAATCCTTGTTTGCAGGCGTTTCTGTTACTCCAGAGAATTTTGATTGTTTTATGTCACAGACAATCAAAATCTTGAAGGAATTCACATTGCAGTTTAAGAGTAGTTGTCTACAATGACTTCCTTAACTTACCATGATCTTTAGAGTCTAATTATCCTTCTTGCATCCAAACCTCAACTTAAAGCAAAATATAATAAAATTATTTTTGAACATTGGCAGTAACAAAAATTCTAAATCTAAGTTTGTCGTGCTAACAGATGTTTTGTATACAAAACTGTTTTATTGACAGTGGTTAGCAAAATAAACATACATGAAGCTATAATTCCTGTGTAATACATGTACACTTAAGAGAAACACACGCGGCCTTCAATATGCAAAATCTCAAATGTATAGTATTTAGTTCTTACATACATGATGAAAATAAACATAAGTTAGTTGAAAGATGGTTTTCATTTAAAACAGGCACAGAACAATGAAACGATATTATAGACAATAAAAAAGATAATTGATAAAAAATACTGTCTTTGCATGTTTATTGGTCAATAAGAACAGCGCTATTGTCATCGTTGAATATTTTCAGCAGAACTTTACGCATTAACATTGTCCTTTTGTCGATTGTCTGTAACACATTTAGGTTTTTTTTATATTGTTGGTTTTTCAGTCGGAAGCTGTTTGATACGGAATGGACTTCCTTGGAAATATACAAGAAAGAATGGAATAAATATAGGATTTTTAAGAGTCATTTTTACCACACAGGCGACCTTAGAAATCTTTAACAATTACTGCGTGCAAACGCATTCAGGCTCTTACTCTTTAAACACTCATCAGGTCGCGAGGTTAGATATAATGATAAGTTTACCTTTTCACGCTGTGTTGTTGGTTTCGTTTATCAAATTACCTTTGATGCAATTTATGTTACTAGTCATTATCGTGCTATCATTATTATTTCCAGATTATACATGGCCAAAGTAAAGAGGTTAAATGATCAAAAATGACTACTTTATACGGAGCTTATCCGCCTGAATTATTTTTTCAGTCATCCACATAGAAGAAAATTAACAAAAACAGAGGCATATTTATATTGATGTATAAATTGAAATTTATCCGCCTGATTTAAGTTTTATTCATCCGTATAGAAGATAATTAACAAAAAACAGAGGCATATATATTATATGTTAATATATATATTAAATTTATCCGCCTGGTTTAATTTCAAGTCATCCCCATAGAATATAATTAACTAAACAGAGGCAAATAACGGTCGTTTATTAATTTACATACATTTAATTTGTTTTCAATATTGAACTTCTATTTCCAGCATAGGTTGAATTAAATCAAAGAGAGATTTTTAACCATATCGTTTCTTTAGTTTCACATACTGTATTTAAAAATCAACACGCTTTATGTTTAATGTCATTTCATTTGATTCTTGTGTTTTTTTTCCTATTAAAGAAGGACAGTTTGGACTAGAGATTCTGGTCTTTGGACGAAATTATTTTTTTCTTCTTAACGAAAATTTTCAAGTTATAAATTTGCAATATATCAAAAATGGATTTAGAGCATGCTAGATGCTTATGACCGGACGATACTTCCACTGAATTTTTGTCATAAAATAAGCACATTGTAAACAAAATATTTTGACTTCCATATTAATTCTTAATCAATTTTTCTGAATATATTGCCAAAACGCATAAAATGATGCAAACAGGTTGTACAATAGGATGGCAAATTAGTACCCTTTAACAGTATAACAGGACACCTTATTCTAAAAAAGAAAAAAATTAAAGCATTTCCCGGGGTTTAAAACAAAAGGAACAAACGCGATGTATGTGTACCTGATTTCAAAACTGAGACAAAACCTAATTGTATTTCAAATTGTAAGGGTTAAACATAACATACGTGTTTTGATGATGCTGGCTTTAATTTTAAAAGTACATTTGTGATAAAAAAAAACTTTCAATGCGTTCAGGACATAATTTATATAGAGTAAAAGCAACAAATACAAAAGCTTTTGAATAAAATAAATGAAATGTTAGTGGACTCATGAATTTGTAAAAGTGAATCGGAATCTTTAGAACATTTTTTTGGTGTTGTCACCACATTTTCTTTCTTAAAAGGTATGCCAATGTTAGTAGCTTTCTCAACTGCTAAAACTTTATTGTATGTTTTAAAGAAAGGAAAGTAATACAAATACAACAAGTATTATTAGTTTCCACGTAGATGTATTTAGACCTGTACAAAGAAAACTATTTACAAAATGTTACGAAAGCAATATATAAATTCCTATTTCGTATAAATTCAAAAGTGAAAATTGTTTTTCAGTGTGATTTAGACATTCTAAGAGACATTGAGCCTTTTTTTCTCATAGGATACATCTGAAAAATTTCTTATTATGTATTGAAAACTTTATCAGCCAAAGATGAATGCATGTAGTTAATATATTTCGGTTTATTGTTTAACTTACTTTATGTTACCTAAATTTGAATAAATGTTACTACAAAATGTCATCCCTGGTAAACTCTTTTTCATCAATTCATATATTTTTTATTAAAACATTTGTGATTTGTTAAGACCAAACTTAAACAAACAATGAGAAAAATTTATCTCAGTACCTGAACAGTCAAACTTATTCATGTAAGATGCTTTAAAATATATGATTTCAAATGATAAGATAAAGTTTGCCTAAAATGTAATAATTTTTGCGTGATCAAATATTTGCGAATAGTTTCAATTCGCAAATAATCGCAAATATTTCCACGTTGCAAAATCAACAAGTTATATAGTAGTGGACGGAGTCAATGTCAGCTTCTGGTAGGTTCCTGTTTCGCCATATCCTTTTCTTAAAACTGAATTGTTACATGTAATCCCGAAATTTGATTTCAAGTAAATTAATGTCCGCCGATGAATAAATTCAATATGGATATATTATACATGAAATTGCCGAAATTTTAAAAGGCGTATAGTAGTGTTAAGGGTTTTGTGCCGCCGTTAGTTTGCAGTTCTTAGTGTGTAGTAATGTGTAATAAAAAATGTGCAGCCGCCGATGGGTTTAATAAATATGGTCATAATAGTGAAATGTATTCTATCAAAAAGCTCGCTTTTAGACTTTGTCTTATTCATATTACATAAAAAAAAGTTCAGTTGAATAAGGTAGGATTTTTTTCTTCTCACAAATATTCAGACCGGATATTCGAAGAATCATTGTATTTGTAACCACACTTTTATCTTAAATAAATCTTAAAAACAAAACTAAAAATCGTTTATCCTAATTTTACAAAGCAAATGCTCATCGTATACTACTGTATTATTATAACTTTGATCTATTACAGATGTGAATTCATTAGAAAAGTATTCCAATTAAGTAAAAAAGCGTACAGTCCAAACTGTAAGTATCTGGAACCTACTGCCTGATAATTATATATTGAGATCGCTTCATAGTTTGCTTTATTTTAAAAACCTGAGTAGATAACATGCATTTCTTGATTGAAAGAAAGAAAATTCGTATTAAAGTTAAGCTACCAATAACGTAAAAGGAGTAATGAGAACCACACCCCTATCAGCTTAAATTACGTACTTTCGCGTTTTATCCATATAAGGCAGTGCACATTGATATTTAAAACGTTGAATGTTGAGAATCGGTGTCACTTGAATTAACTTATTAAAGACAGTGACTATCTAGCACTGACGATTATTTATATACTAGCATCACTTCAGAGATGGATAGCAGTCAGAGCAAGGGTTCAGATATAGCTCGAATGATTTGGATTGTTGGAGCCCCGGTTATTTTCGCCGTTGGAACTTTTGGTAACATCATGACAATGATTGTACTATCACGCAAACGAAACAAGCCGTCGTCAACTTCTGTTTTCCTGTCAGCTAAAGCACTCTTTGACATAGTTGTGATGGTCATAATGTTGCCTCGATGGTGGATAATCTATCTCACTGGTATAGATATCCGTCATATTAATAACTTTGTGTGCAAATTTCAATTCTTCGTCAACTACTTCAGTGGAAGTATCGGCAGCTTCCTGCTGGCAGCTGTTACAATTGAGCGCGCCATATGTACCGCTAAACCTTACCTTGTAAAGAATATATGTACTGTAAACATTGCGGTAATCATTTCAATTGCTCTTGCGCTCACAGCGTGTGTAATTCATGGACATATGTTTTTTGGTATGAAGTTGTACGAAGTAACATACAAGGAGACATCTGAAACTATTTCGTTTCCCTTGGATTCAAATGAAAAATCGACCAATACATGTGAATTTATTCTAGACCAGTATTTTGATACCAAAATCGATCCTGCCGGTGAATTTAGGTTCAAAGATTATGCAAGCGCTTTAAATTCTACCACTGAAGAATGTATAGACGATTTGTTTGTCAAGATTGAAACAAATGAAAAGTTAACTGCCACGAAAACAATCAAAGTATGCTGGTATGACGATCCAGGATATGGACAATATTTTTCGGGAATGCATCAAATTCTTTTAGCTATCATCTTCACGACCATACTGACAATCTTCTTTGTTGGTGGTTTGATTATAATAAAAGGTCTACAAAAAAGCAGAAAGCTGCGGAAGAGTATGACGAACACAAACAGACAAACATCTGGCAATAAACCAGCATTTGATGACCAAGCTAGACAAATAACTGTGTCAATACTTTTTGTTAACGCACTATTTGTTCTTATGGGAATACCTGCGCTTATTTACCTGAATGGAATATCGGCCTGGATTGACGAGGACACTGGCATGACTGAGATACAGGAAATAATGTGGGCGGTTGTAAATATGTTGGCCTACGCCAAACACGCAATTAATTTCATCTTGTATTTCCTCAGTGGACAACGATTTCGTAGTCAAGTGAAGGAAACATTCGGATGCTTCAAAAATCCGAGTGCCGAACGTAGTAAAAGCATGCCTGTTAATCGGCTTGTTTCCGTCGCCAGCAGTTATGATCTAAGTTTGAAAAAAAAGCCTTTAACTGAATGAGTAGGTTCAGAAGCCCTACTGGACACTCATGCTATGATTGTACTTTTTGTCACTTTTTGAAGCCAAAAGAATATAAAAGCGGAATAAACAATTTGCTTGATAACTTCGATTGCATGCTCACATTTATATTGTAATTTTCTTTACTTTCTTGCAACGCTAATTTTACACGAAATTGACTGTAAATAGTATCACTAATTAGTACATTGTAAAATGTTGTGCAACTGTTGTATTTCTGCGTATAATCATTTTCTGTTGTATGATATTGTGTATTTTCCGTTAAACAATCATAATAATAAGATAATTTTATTCCGACAGAACAAGGGAATAAACATTTATATTGTTTTATTTTTAAAGTGTATGTAGTTTATTTCTGTTGAAATGTTGTGCGTTCATTAAAAAAATCCAAAAACAAGAGTTTTTGTCCTTATTTTTTGTGCAGGTAATCGTTTCTGTTACTCCAGAGAATTTTGATTGCTCTATGTCACACGAAGAAAAGAACATTGAAGTTACAGAACAGTTGTCTATAATGACTTCCTTTAACTTACCATGATTTTTTAGAGTCTAATTATCCTTCTTTCATCCAAACCTCAGCTTAAAGCAAAATATAATCAAATTATTTTTTGAAAATTGGCAGTAACAAAAATCCTAAATCTAAGTTTGTCGTGCTAACAGATGTTTTGTATACAAAACTGTTTTATTAACAGTGTTCAGCAAAATATACAAACATGTAGTTATAATTCCTACATGATGTAAATAAACATAAATTTGTTGAAAGATGGTTTTCATTTAAAACAGGACAGAACAATGAAACGATATTACAGACAGATGAAACATAATTGATAAAAATACTGCCGTTGCATGTTTATTGGTCAATACACACTGTACAATCAAATTCGAAGTCAACGCGACGACAGCCGTTCCAGTATATACATGACGGTATAAAACCATAATTGACGGACGGTAAGTATTTATCTATTTTAACATAACCCAACTGTGCTCTAGTAAATCAATGTTATGGATTCATAGTCAACATCCAAAGGAGCCTGCAAACAAATGTATGACCCTGTGCAAGCTTTATTTTACGTGAATTTTGATTGAAAATAACCACACTTTCCGAAAAAAAAAACCACTTACGTTTTCTCATAATAATAAATCATTTTAAGAAACGATTCGTTAACGTCAACATTTGGTCATCAAATATTCCAAAGCATACCTTTGAATGTCTACAAAATTTGAGTAACGTCATAAACCGTTCGCCTCAGTCTAATTATAACATCGACATCCACTCATCAGCAAGAATGAATAACGCTGAAAACCGTTCAACAAAATATTTTTTAGGGCTTTTGTGCTAAAGCAACTAGTAAAGAGTAAAACATATTGTTCATTTAAAGATCCTGTAACACAATTTTTTCATGGTTTTATTTCATAAATATGATGCTCAAATTAAGATTTGTCAATATTGTATAAGCATTATTTATAAAGATATAACTTAATTTAACATTTCATGTAAATAAAGGGAGATAATTAGAAATTTATTTTCTATAAATTCTAAGTCAAATTTTCCAATAAGAAATGAATTCATGTAATTTATTGATTAAATATAATGTGCACAAATATTTGCAGTACACATTTTACATATTCTTCGATGTTTGAAAAAAAATTTATTTGCATAATTTTATACATATTTAATTTTTTGCAAGTGTGGTATACACACAGTAACAATATAAATCACAAAACATACATGATCTTTAAAACATACGTTAAAATATACTTTCTGGTGGACCTCATGCTAACGAAATCCATCTACGTCCAATATGCCCGTCACTTATTGTTTTAAGTATATAAGTGTATGTACTTGTGCGGTTGTCATCCCCACTCCAAATCCCTCCAGAGGCGTGCACGTCGCGGAGAAGGCACACGACAGGTCAAGGTCAAGTCATCTTAAGTACCAGACCAAACAAATAATGGTAGCGAAATTTCAGACCCTGATATTTGCAAAAACCGAAATTTAGGGGAGATCAATGCGTAAAGATTGTCAAATGACAGGCGCATTAATTTTTAAGCCTTCAATGGGAAAGAAAAAATAGTTTCCGATTGGTCGAAGATTTCTAATATTGTGTAATTCTTTACAGATATACATGATAATATATTAAGCTCCGTGATTATTTACATCAGTGTTAACAACAGGTTTACCGTGAACAAAATATCTCGAAATTAATAAGGGTTACAAACCCTAATTTCAAACAATGTGGTTTTCTCCAGGCTGTTATCTTATAATTTCTCTGAGGTTGAGTGGTTACACGCTGCTTTGAAAGGGAGGGGTCTGGAATTCAAATCCAAGTTAAGGCAACTTTTTATTTTAATTGTTTAAGCCAAATAAACATTGTAATTAGCCTTATAGTCAATTTACTACAGTTACAACACTGGAAACAGCATTGATGGCACTATACAAATTGGTTTATAATCTCACAACCTTCACCTTTCTGACAGTCTGAGACCCAAATAAATTCAGCGCCAGCTGTGCTTTGATTATTAAAGAGGGACAGTTTGGGCCGGAAATTCAGGTCTTTGGACGAGATTTTTAAAAATTATATCATTAATAGAAATAAGAAATAATATAAAAAATAGACATCCACATGAATAATATTTATTTAACAAAAGGTTCTTGCGTTTCAACATGGTTAGGTAAAATTAAATTAATCCAAGTTCAAGCATCTATTTAAAACATATTTCTCGTTAATAGTTCTTAAAACACAAAAAAATATTTTATAGATATAGACAATTATGATTTTGATTCTACATATGATGTTGGAAAATAAGAAATACCTGACAAAATATATTTGTTACTTTATTGGAATGATGCCTTGTTTATGTCAATGACAACTTGTTTACGATTTTTATGATCTAACAACAATTTAAAACGTAAGCATTGCTGTTATTTACTGAACTTTCACATTTTGCTTTAGGTATCCAATAAACAATTAAGGTAAGACCTTAGAGGCCATTTGCATTATGATCGTTAATTTTGAAAATTAATCAACCCAAAAATATTAATTACTTTGTGGCTTACTTTGTATACTGTTCGTATAGCATCATCGCTTAATTAAAAAGTTATTATGTATCGTAATATTTGATACCAGTATAATTGATATCAGTAACTTAAGAATTTTAGGTATAAATATATCAATTATTAATAATTAGCTTTTTGCGTCTGACCCACTCATTAAATAACAAGAAGTACCTTTAGCAAAGATACTTGACCGAAGTAAAACTAGTTTACTGGCATAATATCATTATTATAATATTATCTCTAAGTTTTCGAAAAATATTGAAATTTTAGCAAATCTCACATAACAATGACATAATAATATCTTGTAGCTAAGAAAAAAACTACAAAAACAAAAACAAAAAGAGCAAATAACATTTTTAATACATTTTGTACATTATTAAGGATCCTGTATGTTGTGATCAAAGTGGTAAACCACACTATGCGAAATTATATATATGTACATAATTATGCAAATAAAACTATTTTCAAACATCTAAGAATATGTAAAATATGTAATGCAAATATTTGTGCATATTAGATCTATATGTAATCATTAAAATGTCCTTAAAATATATGCATTCATTACTTATTGTAAAATTTAACTTAAACTTTATAGAAAAATCAATTCTTATTACAGTGGTAAACCACACTATGTGAAATTATATATATGTACATAATTATGCAAATAAAACAGTTTGATATAAAATCTATGATAGAAGGCCTTGATATCTGAAAATTAAAGGAAATCAATTATTGAAAAATTAAGGTTCACAAGCATTTTTCATTTATCTATAAATTCAAATATATAGTAACTTGCTCAATGAAATGAAATATACAAATATTGACACCTTAAATATAATTTTTATAAATTGAATTAATAATGTATCCCTATGGATAAGACATTAAATTTAGGGAAACTTTAACGTTTTTCTAAGTGTCCAGCGTTGCTTTTTTATGATTAATAATCATGAATGATATTTGAAATGACACTTTGAAAAATTATTTGTCAATTTATCTCATTATTTTGGACAAAATTTATATCTCAGTAAGTTCTTGTGTAAAGTAAACTCAGTAAAATAAATTGTTCACTAGAAAATGCAATGATATCTAAACGCAGAGTAAAATGTTTTGTTGAAAGAAGTATGGATATCAAATAAACAAAGCTTGAATATCTAAACAATTTAACTAAAAGAGTAAACGAACTATCCTTTACATCCAGTTCCTCAGCTTTACAGCCGTGCTGTAATCTTGGTGCTTCGTGCTTGAACGTTGACTTAACGACGTCTTGTTATCTTTTTGTCTTAGTGCTTTAGCGTTTCATTACATTAACGTACTTAAATCAAAAATATTGGTAGTTTTTCATACAAGATACTTTACTTAGTAATTACAGCCTTATATACAATACATTAATATGCTATGACAGAGAGAGAGAGAGAGAGAGAGAGAGAGAGAGAGAGAGAGAGAGAGAGAGAGAGAGAGACATAAAATTTCAGGAATGAAGACACGGTATTTTCTATTGAAATTAAATTAAGCCATTGAACACTTTCCGTATTTTAAAATTGTAATCTAAAGCCCATTACACCAAAAAAATATTTTTATTTTTGTTTCTTAAATTGTTTATGTTATGTTTTAGTTTACAAAATTTTACTCATCGGTTAACCATATTTGCCACTGTTACTTTTTGAAATTAGCACATTAAAATTGTATAGAAGTTAAATACTACTATGTTTTCATTTCGCTACTTTTTCATATTTTACGCTACTATCTTATGTGAAAAGCATCTACCATGATATAAAATCATTTGAACATTATAAAACTCATTTTTCGTATTTTAAATAAAGGGAAAAGTTACCCCTTTTACCCCTTTCTGTGGCATAATGTGCCTTTCTGTTCTTTATTTTAAAGTAGTAGATTGCAATTTATTGCTTCAATATAAAATCATATGTTAAAC